AGGATAAGCACTGGACCACAAGACACAAGGTCAGTTTGAACCTCAAGGTCACTGGTTCAAACTCATCAGCTGCTCCTCAGAAACCCTGTACAACACACACACACACACACACACACACACACATATATATATATAGAGAGAGAGAGACAGAGAGACAGAGAGAGAGACAGAGAGAGAGACAGAGAGAGACAGAGAGACAGAAAGACTTCTGGTATAGGATCCTAAGATAAGTACTTGATTTTACATATATATATACTTGTAAGTAAGTGTCTATAGATTTACATTTATATGTTGTTAAGTGCCATTGAGTCAGTTCTGAATCACAGCAACATTGTACAGCGTTTCCGAAGAGCAGCTGATGAGTTTGAACCAATGACCTTGAGGTTCAAACTGACCTTGTGGTTCAGTGCTTATCCTGTCACACCACAACAGAACACAAATGTGGCGCTGTCAGATAAGCATTTATCCTACAAAAGTTCAGCATTTCAAACCAACCAGTTAGTCATGGAAGCACTATACAGGGTCTCTGTGATTCGTTGAACCACAGACCTAGTAGTTCAAACCTAACTAGATGTCTAGTGCACACAAACACACATATCTATGTAACTCAAACCAAATGAAATCTGTTGCCATAGGATGACTCTGCCTCATACAGACCCTTTAGGGCAGAGTAGAAATTCCTCATAGGGTTTTGAAGGCTGTCATCTTTGGAAGCACACTGACATATCTTCTCCAGTGGAACAGCTGGTGAGTTCAAACTACTAACTGTTTGGATGGTAGTTGAACATTTACCCACTGAGCCAACATGATTCTTTGATGTAACCTAAAATTCTCGACTTTGAATAGTAATACTTACCATTAGCCAAAGGTTGTGAAATATTTTTCTTCTTATTTTACCTGTCTAGAATTTTGTCAAGGTCAAATATTTTCTTCCAAATAAAATACATGAAACATTTAAGGGATGAAAATTTCTGTGACATAATAGTATTTTCTTTACAGATTGTTTAATTTTACATTTTCTTGCATGCATGTTTTTCCCCCCCTGGGCTAAAATAAATCAATCTCCAAATTACATTCGATTCCTAGTCAGATGTTAAGATCTTGTGAAAATTATATTTCTAATACATACTCAAGAGTTATTATGTACATGAGCTAAGCAGAACATCCATGGCCTCTTAAACTAACAATCCCAGGGTATCTCATATACTGCCAATTGAGATGATGTAACATTTGGTCATCCTCTAGGACCTATTTCCAGGAGAGATTGCTTGGCACATATCCAATGAAAAATGTTAAAGGACTAATGGATTCATGTTGGGCTCTTAGACAGTTTTCTACTCCCTTAAAAGTGGCATAATTAGGGGGATGGTAGCACAGAACTGGATAGTCTTTTGTTCTGTTGTGCTTAAGGTCATAACTGACTCAAAAACACCTAACAACAAAAATATTGTTTTAAATCATCTTTTTATGTTGATTTGGGTGAAAGTTTCAAAAAGGAAATTAATATTCCATTCAATAATTCATATGTATTCCTCATTGTGACATTGATTGCAAATCCCACAAAGTAATAGTCCACTTCGTAATTTTTCCTGCATTTACCTTTTCTACTCTAAGATTTCCTATCCTTTACTGCATTCTAAGTTTCACCTCTGAGCAAACGATGCCCTATGGATGCCATACGGAGTATGCCATATGGAGTATATGCCTCCCTGGTGTTGTTCACA